ATTTTAAAAGATAGGAATCATTTTGATATATTTAGCCTATCATTTAATCTTCTTTATTCTTAATGCATATCTTTCATTTATGGGATCTAAAATTAACATAAGCGAACACCATCGACGGGTGGTGGCATAGTGAGCTTATGATTGAATAGGGATACTCCTCCCTGATTCGTGCTCCCCAGGACGTCTAGCTAGGGTTTCCTCTCGCTCTCTATTTGGAGATGAGTCCCACAACTTCGATTACAGTGTTGAGTTGTTGTCGACACTCTCAATTATAAGAATCCAATTGGTGAGAAGTCACACGATATAGATTTTGAATAATAAGAAAAATTAAAAAACAACTATCAAAGAAATGATATTACAGAGATTCAACCATACATTTTCTATTCAAATATCATGTTAAGCCACTACAACACTCAAAACCCTTCAATCTTTTATATATATATTATGAAATATTCAATCTTTACCTAAAAGATTAGGAGAGAGACCCTCCGTGTAATAGTTGTAAGGTTATGAAAATTTTCTCGGGAAACAAACAGAAAGTGGCAAACGGTGCCTAATTTTTCCAGCAGCGATTGGGGCTTTACAGCAAAACATGTGTGAAAATAGGCAGAAAAAAGAAAGCTGCAAATTGGGTTTCTCTTTACACAAAAAAGGTTCAGAATTTCCTTATGGTTAGGTAATTGATCTTTTTTTTTGTTTGTTTGGTTGTGGCTGCGTAGCTTTCTCATTAATTTTTATTGTGCTTTTGTTATTTTTCTATGTCTTGACAATGACCCAATTACTCTCCTTTTGCATGCTTTTTTTCTTTATATGTATATTTATTTTAAGAATAATTATAAGTTGTGGTGATGCCAAACTTTGAGTTGTGGATTTAGTGAAGAGAATTTGATTGGGGGACCCAATTGATAATTTGCTTGGGTACAGAATATTTGAAATATCCCTTGAAATCATGGAAAAATAAGATAAAGTAAGAGAAATAAGAGTAGTTTTCACTTTTGAAAATGAATTTTCAAATTGACACAGCCACTTGATTGGATAGAGATGGGCTTTTTGGCGGTGGATTATATCAGAAATCTACTCTTAGATTCGACCAAATTGCAGAAGAGAGAGGGTTATTAATTCGAGTGTTTCGATTTGTTCTTTATGTGGTATTTGTTGAGGCTACTGTTTGAGGATCAAATTAAGAGGTTTGTGATGGAGATTAGAGTGTGAAATGGAGCATAGTTAGGACTTATGGAGATGGGTTTTATAGGTATTGAAGTTGAATGTGATGATTAATCTCGCTACGGGAGAACACGATAACTTTGTATCATAAAAGATGAGTGTGTCGTGTGACTAGATGCTCTCATTTAAGAGAATTCAATATCCAAGATATGGATGAGCAATGATATGCCTCTGTTTGGATTTTGAGCTAATTATTTGTGTCGAGCAAACTGAACTAATTGTTGGTAGTTAACTATTTTGTGGAATTTATTTGAACATAAGTTGTCGTGTCGAATGATTTGGCTAATAGAGTAATCTATTTCGTGACTACATAGTCACTTCACTTTGTTATCCTACATGTATTTGTAACAAAAACAACAATATCATTAGAAACTAGGGGTTAATATATAATATCATTAGAAACTAGTTTATCTTACTTTAAATGATATTTAAATGACCTAGAGTTAAAATAGAAGTATATTTTTTTAGTGAGAATGATTCCATTTTGAACTTTATAATTTAGAACATGACATTTTACCCAAAAATTTTTTAAAATAATAACTTTATAGGATCGCGTTCAAGTTTGTTTATCAGTACTTAAAATTGAAATATGACTGAATAAGTTAGGATATAATATGAAACCTAGTAGAAGCGTTAAGTTTAACTATCTTAACTTAATTGGCAATGAGTTTTCTCCCTCAAAATTTGTGTATCCTTTTAGTTGTCACATAATTTAGGATTACCTAATTTCCTAGTATGTGAAAACAAAAAGAAAAAAACTCATTGATTAAAAAAGCTATCACATTATCTTCTAACCGTCAATGTACAGTTCAGTTGGTTAAGACAAAAAAAACTTCTTCATAGTTTGAAAGTTCAAATCTCAAATCTCAACTTGTATATGTGTATCCTTAAATTTTGGAAGGAAAAAAAAAACACCTTTTAATTTATCATCATACATTCATATATGATTGAAGAGGACTAAAAGGTTTATATTTTCATATCGATATTTTAACTTATTGATGATATACGACACATTTTATTGTAAAAAAAAATATATATCAGATAATCATAGATTAGGTAATCTTTTTAACTAGGTAGCTTAGTTATGTAGATATCTTTTTCAATGTCACTTAGAAATTGTCACTAATTATAGATCACAATAATTGATGCAGGAAAGATAAGATGTATTGACTTCAAAAGTTGTCTTTATTGATCGGGTTAAAATTAAAAGATCGAAAGTTCAAATTTGCAACCCGCTCTGACTATTAATTAAAAAAAAGGTAATGTAATTATGGGAAAGCTACCAAAAAAAAAAAGAAAGTTGCTATTGCAATTTCCAAGTTGGTTAATTAATTAAAGAAAGAGCTAAATGGCATATCATGAAAGGACCATGGGGCTTTCATTGACTACACAAAATTGTGAAGACAGCTCACTCCCACCAACTGATTCATTTGGAATCATCTGAAATCTGAATCCTCTCCCCAAGCTGCCTATTAGATCCAAATCATTGAAAAAAAAAAAATCTAATTACTCCTTTTTTTTTTCTTGATTAAATTATAAATTTAATCCTTTAATTTCAAGGAGTTGTGTGTATGGTTCATGAATCTTAAATAGGCACTCACATTTTTTTTTTTAATTAAACAATATATGGGGTGAAAAATAAAAAACTTCAGACATTTTGGTCGGAGATGTATACTTTAACTAGTTAAGCTATGTTGAAGTTGACTTCACTCTATTTCTTGAACTTTAGATCATATTTTTATTCAACTTTTGCCATTAACACCAGTAGAATGCTAAAGTAGTATGTTCATGAGATGAGTTTTATCTAACTTAGTGAGATGTGGAGGATAATTGGACAAACTAATAGATATGTCACGTTAATGATATTAGCAACGTAAACGAAACAGAAATATATAGCAAAGTTTGAAATGTAACTATTTTTTAAATTGAATTTAAGCACTAAATAAGCACAATTTTGAAGGGTTGGGTCTTTCTATCTCTTTGGTTTGACAAACTTGTCTCCTTAGTTGAGCCATTTATGTCAGAGGGAGAGTGTGAATAATGATATAGTGGTTTCCCTTTGAGATGAACAAAGCCTTTTGAAAACTAATCCCTTTTTCCATGCTTTCTCTCTTAGCTTTTTCTCACTTAGAGCTATCATTGCCCTTTTGTTGGATTATCTCCAAGTAGCCCATGACCCCATGAGGTTTCTCTCTTTTTGAATCCAAAGCTAATATTAGAACAACTAAGCTTTTCATTCTTCTCTGAATTTGATACTAATTTTTAGGACATCCATGCTTTTTGTTTCATTTAAAAAGTTTTATACCAATAGATGTGTCTTTTACTCAATGTGAGTCTATATTCACATCCCGAACAACTAAATATGTCAAGACTCAGTCTACTATTTAAATGTCTCGATCTTGATAAAAAAGACCAAATAAGATCTAAACTAGAAGATGGACCATACCAAAAGACGCCTGGTTGTCGTATGGCAATTATAATCAATTGTCTCAAGCTTGGCCTCCTTGTAGCATCAATCTCATCATTGGCCAGGCCAAGCATAAAGGCAAGCCCAAGCTTGTCTTAAACCCACATTATTTGGGTTCGGTCCTGGTTGGTTCAACCTTGCCAAGGGCTTGATCGTATTTCTAGTTCAATATTCTTTTGGTCAAGAATATATACCTTAACTAGTTTAGTTGAGTTATACTCATGTGGGCTAGAAGTCGATTATTTAATTCCATTCCTAACTCCAATATTTGAAATATATTTATTCTCTTTTTGACCTAGATCTAAGATTTGGAGAAGAGAGAACAGCCGTTTTTCTTAGGGATCGTTAGTATTTGAGAGAGAATATACGAGGTGAATTATTGCCACTATCGCTGAGCTAGGGTTTACATGTGGTTCTTTGGTGGTTCCTTGTGTATGTCATTCATCCTATTAAGTTTGGTTGTTCTGGCTGGTTTTATGTCTTCTTATACAGACACTCAACCGCTTCTCTGTCACTCTTTCATACTTTCCAAGATTGGAATCAAAGCACCTAGAGATGAAGGTCTTAAATCTTTTACCTTTGAGTGATCCATTTTTAATCTAATGGATGGATGAGTGAGGCAGACAAGTTAAAGTTTGATATTAGATTGGGCTTGATTTGTTGAACACTTAGATGGTAGAATGAGTTCCAACTCGCAAAAGACCAAAATTAAATAATTTAAAGACATTTGGAAGTGACCGTTTTGAAAGTCACTTGTTTTATGTTATCATATCACACACTAGAATATGTTTGAAATTGATTTTGACATTACCGAAATCATTTTTTTCATCGCCGAAATCACTTCCATTTAAACTAAAAATGTTTGACAATAATATACTATTGATTTTAGAAAATAATTATTAATGTTTGACAATGATATACAACTGATTTTGGAAAAAAAGAAAAAGAAAAAAAAAAAGCAAAAATGATTCCAGACATGCTCAAAATCAGCCATCACTATTCAACCCCTGTGCTTCGAGAATTATGTGACTCCAGCTGAAGCAATTATTTTGACCAAAAGTGGCCCTGCCTTGTGTTGCCAGTAAATGCCCCAGCCTTTTTCGATTTCCAGGCTTGAACCCTGAAAACGGAACTAGACCCCGTTCCCTCTATGTCGATATTAAAAACGTAAATATTAGGCTTTGTGAATTAAGGAGGACTCATATGATTCTCCTTCCTCGACTTCGGGCAGCTTAAATTTAGCTTTTTGAACAAATATACTCCTTCCTGGTAACATTATACCCACGAATTTCCCAAGTATACCACAAAATTTTTAAGGCACTTCAAAAGAGAGTAAAATTCATTTACCTAAAACGAACATGTACAGATTTTTAACAGCTTAATGAGAAAGAGAACTACAAAGGGGAAGCTTATAGTTGTAGAGAAGTAGAGAGGAACTATAAAAGGGAAGATTGTACAGTGGTACTGGTAGAGCTGGTATCAAGGCTTGGCTGCGACCCCCTAAATTTCAGTCCCATTAGCAATTGCTTCAAGTCCTGCCTCCAGGACCAACTCGGATCATTCAGAGCGCGTATCGAATTTAGGCAAACCAGAAGAGTACCACCTTCATGCAAAAGTACCTGCATTTTTTCCCAAGAGGTGATTAAGTACATTTATATTAATTTGTGAATGCAAACACTTCCGAGCCTCGTTTTATAACAATTCCGTTTCTAGTTTTAAGACCAGTAAGGAAATCTTAACGAAAAACAGTTTTAGTTTTTCAAACAATATTTTGACATTCGATCAAGATTTCAAAATGTAAAAACATAAAAAAGAAGTTGAGTCAACTTCATTTAGCTGAGGTGAAATAGTACTTGATGAATCTTATACCATTTGATAGGCTCTTGAAAATAAACATCCATAAGAACGTCAAAAGAGCTGGATTTCATACCGTTAACCACAAGGGAAGAAACCCTAAAACTGCCGGAAGGGAAGCCAAAAATATTGAAAATAAGGCAAGACTAGCATTCTGTTTAACCTGCAAGGAAATTAAGTAGAGAATAAGCAGTGGTGACAATCAATAAAAGTGATATCAGAGCACAATGGTTGTCTTGTAATTAATTACTAGGGCAGTCGTCTGGCGGGACTTGGCAACACAAAATGGTACACCAGAAATGTTATCCCGCAGCAACAGAACATCTGCCACAGCTATAGCAGTTGCGCTAGCACGTTGAGCAAGCACTATTCCAACGGTAGCAGCAGCAAGTGCTGGAGCATCATTAATGCCTTCACCAACCATGATCAGCCCTCCTCCTATATGTTCAACAGCAAACGAGAAACAAAGACCCTTACAAGTTACCGGACAAACAAACATACAGAAAACAGTGGGAAAAAACTCAACTGTCAACTGGGAACTATTTCGTTGTGTCATGATAATTCAGTAGTAGGAACAAGTATATGCTCTATTAACATCGAATAATTAAGCTAATCAATAATGAGGGTTAAGAAAGAAAACCAACCGTTCTCCCTAGAGATACTTTTCACGTGACTAAGCTTATCTTCAGGCTTCAGACTGAAGTGGACTTCATTGATGCCCACTGCCTTCGCCACTCTCCATGCACTTGACTCATGATCTCCAGTTAACATCATAACATGGAGTTTTGCCACATCTCTTAATTCTACTATTACACTTGAAACTCTAGGATGAGGTCGATCCTCAAGATGAATAAGTGTTACCTGCACCCTCATAGCAATGAAGTTGAAACAATAAAATACAATCATGTATTTAGAATGACTATTTTAGGATGAATCATATGGTAAGTAGAGTAAGAGTAATTCAGTTTGACTACTAATATTGTTTTATATGGGCTAAATTTATCATTTAGTACTTAAAATATACGTAAATTTTCAAACTTTTACTTATCTCAAATGTTCTGTAAGTATCAATTTTACCCCAAGGTATAAAAATTTTCAATAAAGTCCCAACTAAATAACCATTAAAATTTGATAATAGAATAGTGATGTGGATATGGATCTAGGCGTTGCCATGTTAGATTTGATTTTCTAACAAGGCAATGCTAGATTAATATCTTTTCGTACCAGATAGGTAAAGAATAAGTAGAAACCTGGCCCATTTATGAAATCTTATATCTTACCTTCCCATCAACTGCAAGAGCAGCATGAACAAATTCACTTCCATATGAAGATGTGCTCACAGCTTCTTTGATCTCTTTTGATTTAATTTCTGATTTGTGGAGTGAAGTGATGAAATCCAAAGAACCAAGAGATGCTTTCAATAGTTTCCCACCTCTAGTTCCTGACTATAATAAATCAAGATGAAAATGCAAGTTTGCCTTGCCGGTTACTGACTATACAATATGATAAAATCAATTACAATAAAGAACACCGTGGATAAATATCCGGTCCCCTGTACTACTAGCTGATTTTTCTGAATGATTTATGACATGCACTGTTTCTTTGCATAATTGTTACGTTTAAATTCATAAATCACAATGTCATGCAAAGATAAATCAATGTCACAAACTTCTACAGAAGAATAGACAGGCACGAGATAGATGATGGTGTATCATGAAGTCACACAACTCAAAGCAGAATAACTTGTGGAAGAAGGAATAATAGATGGATGTTGGTTTTATGGATGGAAAAGAAGGTATACATAGGGTCGTTGGCAAGTTTGTAGATTTCGTAGTTGGCTCCAATTATAACAATAAGTTGAAGTTAGAAAAGAGAATGCATGTGAGAGAAAGGAATAACACCCACCAACTGTGCAGGTATAAAAGTAGATAAACCAATTAGTTGATTTAGCATAATCATTACCTCAGTACCATCCAGAGTTGCAACCAGTCCTCTACCAGGAAAATACTCCAAATTTTGGACAGAAAAGGATGGGAGGTCTTTTCCCATACTATGGTCAACCACAGCTCTGAAAGTAAAATGACCAAAAAGAAAAAAAGAAATATATGGGTACTTGGAGCATATAATAAATGCTTGGGCATCAATTATTCTTGAACTTTTTGTACCCAAATACATGTACAAGTAATTGATCTATATAGATGAGACCTACCCCTCTAATACCAATTTGTCCTCATATAAAAAGCATGCAATAAACTAAAATAAAACAGCAGATAAGTTGCAGTCTGTCGTAATTAAAAATTTCCCAGCACTTGGTCTGAAAATTTCAGACATATCCTAGATCTGTTGATTTCCACCTCCTACTCCTGCTAAACTAATAATTAAATAAATATGTAAATTAAAAAAAAAAGATAATTTCCAATCAAATGCAGCTATAAGACCTTTTTCATCTGAGAAGGAATAAAACACAAAAAGTTCAGAAAGGATAACTATAATCGAGGAAAAATTAAATTCAAAAGGACCTCCCAATTGGGTGAGTAGTGCCCTTCTCCATGGCAGCTGCTACAGCAAGGGCTTCAGTTTCACAGCAGGGAATGCAACAGGGACCAAAGTCTGATCTGTTTTCTCTGACCTTGTGTCCGTAAATTGGTTCAATTGCTTTGAAAATAAGACCTCCAGTAGTCAACGTCCCAGTTTTATCAAATGCTATAGTGTGACAAGAAGCTAATGCATCTAATACACGGCCACCTTTCAACAATATCCCCTGCATTGAATTGATAACAAAAAAGACGGCATCAGAAATGCTCAGTAAGAATAGACTCCTATTTTACCAAAAAGAAGAATATATCTTGAAGTGCAAGTAATTAGGATTTTACTATGACAATTGATTTATTTATACCTTTCTTGCACAGGAACTAATTGCAATAGCATAAGCCAATGGTGCAACGGCCAAAGCACAAGGTGATGCTGCCACCATGAGGCCAAGAGCTCTGTAAACGGATCCTCTGCAAGCTAAAGAATTAAGTAGGCATCATACAGATGACAGAACTTTTAATCAAAGAAGAAACATGGAATTACAATGGATAAAAGTAAACGACGACACTTAGATAGAGAATAGACGACGAGAGGGAATGAAGAACCACAGAGATGTAAAAGATTCACCTTCTGAACTTTAAACAAAACCTACAATTAAGGATTAGAAGGTGTTTACCACAAGTTATTAATTAGGTTAAGTGTGTCCAAATGATACTCTTTGAATCATAATTCAACTAAATAACATTATCTGTACCACATACCATGACCGAAAGTTCCAAGTAGGAGATGTCACAAACATCTTCATTTCAGATGAGGAGAAATTGCAAGACTTGAGTTGTTAAGTTCGTCTTATGGGATCAAATTGGAGCTGATAATAATTTTGCTGATAGTTGATTATTGGTATTTATGTTAGAAAGTTTGGAAAAGTTGTCTTCAAGATGATTTTAGTGTGATGTAATGGCCATTGAAATATTTAGACTTCCTTTTCACAATCCAACTTGTTTGAGCCCTTAACAACCAGTTTTAAATAAAATTACTTCTATATAGGCGTCACATTATTGGTGCATTGTACTGATGGATGTAGAATGACTTGGGCTATTACATATTGGGTGGAGATGATTATTGGTGCTTTGATACCAAAGCCCTCCCCTTTCTGCCCACCCACATCCTTGGAAAAACAGACATAATTGAACGCTTTTGAAAACATTCGTCTTTCTCCCCAACCATAACAAGCCATTCCTTAACCATCAGCCATTGATCCAAAGAGCTTTAACCTTGCCTCCAAACATAGGGAAGTAATCATTGTAAAGTGGTATAGATAGGATGCAACTTCCAGTTGAATAATATTGATGTTTACCTGATGTACCAATAAATGGCCACTTGAACATTATTGGACCAACGAGTGCAATAGCAATGGACAAAACTACAACTGCTTTGCTATAATGCTCGCCAAATTCATCCAGCCACCGCTGAAGTCTTGGTTTATTCAGTTGTGCCTCTTCAGTCAAGTTCACTATTCGACTCAGTGTTGACTCTTTCCAGGTCTTTGTTGCCTACATCGAGTTTCAAAATTAACTGGGTGAGCTAACAAAACAATTACAGTAGTCGAACCATCAGTAGGGGATCAAGCTAAAGTTCGTTCTTCAACTGCTTTTATGTGGTGCTTTTGGAGTTGTGATAGAGAGATAGGAAGAATATCCAATGATATCTTAGAAATTCTGGTTGACCGTGAGAATTTGTTGTCTTTGAATCGGTGTACCTTTTTTTTTCCGTAATTTTTCTCAAAGTTCTATTTGTCTCAACTGAAAACCTGTTTTATAAAGTTTATATACATTTGATCTATCAACTAAATTACTTTTCTTGTAATAAAGAAAAGATTAAAAACTAGAAAAATAACAGACTGTTAATAAAATTTGCAAGAAAAAACAATAGATAATTAGGTGAAATTGCTCTCCTTTCACTTATTTTCAGTGATTTTCTCGTCAAACTGATATTGTATTCTGCATTTTTTAGTTTTTAACACAATTATCCAGTTTTTTCTTTTCTTTTTTAATATTAAGAAACAATGTTAAGTTCAAAAAAATTAAAATAAATTTAAGAAAAAATGACAATACCTTAACAATTATCCTACCATCCAAGTTTCTTGCACCACCAGGAACTCTGTCTCCAACCGTAATCTCTAAAGGTTTTATTTCGCCTGTTAGGTGCTCAATAGTGACTGTAGCGCTACCTTGGAAAACTTCACAATCTACAGGCACAGACTAGCAAAATACAAGCCTCCATTATGATGTTTTCTATTCTAACATATCATGACGAAACATGAGAAATCTAGGCACTCAAACTGAGAGTGCAGCTACTTATAGAATTAGTGCATTGGACAATAATATTTTTACAACTTTAGAAGGCAGGTGTTCAATAAATGAAGCCTCAAGAAACCAGGGTTAATGATAATAGCATAAGTGAGAGGTTACTTGATTACATTTTTTGGAAGCCTTATCGTAAGGTTATGTTAAAAAATTATCTAGAAATTTAAAAAATAAATTCAGGTTTCTGATCTCAGAAAGTTCATTTAACATGATTTTTTATACTACTTGTAGAAAAAGAAAAACAAAAAATTTTACCTGCTTTAGAGATTTTCTTTAATGTTTTCTAAAATGGTTGACATTGAAGAATTTATCAATTCGTAAATATATAATTACTGCAAGACATGACTGGATATTATGCTAATTTTTATGTGCAAAATATTCAGGAGCTGTGTAGTCACTTGAAGAAGAGAAAAGTTCACCGCCTAGAAAAACAAACTGTACTTCTAGTTTGAATACTTGGGGGTGGCAGGAATATAGTAGGCCTCAAAGTGGAAAATTCATTCATAGAAAAAGAGTAAAAACAGTCTGTTAAAAAAAAAAGAAAAAAAGAAAAAAAAAGGGAGATACCATGACTACCATAAACTTTCTATCCTCTTACTCATGGTTCCTCCTACTTGCTTGCAGTTAACCACTTGAGTCATCCCGTAGATTCCCTTCTCCCAACTAATTTTCCCTGTTTACAGCCTCTCTATTCCTTTTCTGCCCACTTCTCATCCTCCTTACATAAGTAAACCAGAAAAGGAGCCCATCATACCCTGCCCCAATAAAGCCACCTTGTGCTCAAGATGAAAATGGGGAAATTGGTGCTAATATGAGATGTTTGCTCCTATATAGCCAAGCATCAGTAGCTGAGATGGCCACACATTGAATCAGTACCTTTGCAGCCTAAAAACAACCCCAACACCCATTGTAGGTTAAGACTCAATACACAGATCAGTAGATGTCATTCATCATCACTTCATCAACAATTGAGAAGTGGAAGGAGTGTTGATAAGTCCAAAGGACGTGACTACAGTTCGCAAAGTCCTTCCATGTGGGTTGTCGTTAGATATTCTCTGGCCTTACACTTATTTGGTGATAACCTAACTTGGGTTGATTCTTTATAATACTATGGCCCCATACAACTTATTGTCATCCTCTTTATCAAGATAATGGGCCTGAACAAAGAACTACTAAGTGAATAACACTAGAGAGCAGGATATCCTTCACGCAAGGATTCAAGTCGCCTACTCAGTTCTGGGTACCAACAGCATTGTACTTTGATTGGTGAGACACTTAGCTGAGTAATGGTGTAATCCTTGCATCTGTAAGGAACAGACCAGATAGACGTTCAAAATACCTAGGAATACTTGAGAAAAACACACTGAATTTCATCCAGAACATCTCCAGGTTTTGTTGTTTGGTTATGATCACTCGTTGGAGCACAAATGGAGTTTAGCTCCAGCCATAACTCTTGTCCTGCATCCTTAGAATTTTCATTGTCAACTTTGAGATAAAAGATCTGTCATACAGGGATCCCCTTTGTGGACTACCACACCCTCCCCCAACTTAAATTTCACTTTAACAGTCAAGTTTTTCCAATTTATGCTCATAAACCCAAGCGTGGATACCCATTGCACCCTCAGGATAACAGCAGCACTAAAGGTAGAATTAAGAAGTCTTCAATCAGTTGTTGTAGCATGAGGATCACCCCTTTGCACACTCCCATCCCCTTTCTTGGTACACCCATACATAATCGCTCCACAGTACAAGGTTATGGTCATTGGTAGGCTTATCTTCAACATGCCTCTTCTCTCGAAACAACATCAAACAACTAGAGTTACAAGCTGATTATCAGATTTGAGAACTTCCTCTTCCTCATGTTTATCAATAAGAGCGAAAATATGAACTAAAAATAAAAATACAGTTTTTGTATCTTATGAAGACATTATGCTTAATTGTTTTTCTCTGGATCACTATTACATCGTAATGTAAGAATCTGAAATCACATACCTCACCAGCTCCAACCAAGATATAGGAATTCACCTGTACATCATGGACAGGCACCTTCTGGTAGGACAAATCTGTAATATTGGAAAGCTTACCATCATCTGTATCTAAAACAAGGGCAGAATCTGGATGGTTTTCCTTCAACTCTTTGACATCAATCATTGAACGACTTGTAAAATACTCTTCCGCTACATCACCATTGATGTTGGTCCAGTTAAAATCCACAGCAAAAAGATAGGTAATTCAGCTAGCATCAAATTTCTTACCAATGTGAGATAAATTAAACATGGCAAGTAGTAGTCCTCCTTCCAAGGAGTTCCCCATAAAGATGGATGCAAAGGCTGCAAGAGCCATAAGTACATGGATGTTTACTTTTCCACCACTAATATCAGTTAAAGCGTCAAGGGATGAGGATACCTAACAAGCAGGGGCACAAATTAGATATATTACAATTTTATACAAATAAATTTCATAACATAGAACCACAAAGGAAGACACGACGTCTTCCGGAGAGAAAGGAAAGAAGAAGTGAAGAAACAAAGCCTAGGAGATCAGGAAAAAAGCTCCCCAATTGTTGTTTATCAATAAATTGTTGATAAAAACGATCACCAGTTCAACACCCAAATTTTAATCAAATCGAGCAGATTATTACACCGTGATAAGTCGTAGAAGTTCCAAGTTTAGAATTACAAAAAGCCACAGCAGTAGGATTCAGGAATATATGCATAATAATCACATTCATTGAAGCAATTCAAAACAGAACAAAAAGTGGTAGAGGAAGACATCCATACCCCGACTAGAGGGAAAGCAACGACAATGAAAGCATTTTGTAGAGGCTTCACAATGGGCTTGGGCACCAAATAAGGGCAAACAGCAGCAGCTACGAACAAAGCCATAGAACAGCAACATAATTGCAAGTGCTCCCTCAGATAATTCGCCAAGTCCGTCCACCTAATGGCTTTGGCAAATCCAACCACCGCTCTCTGAGGCGCAGTCAGCTCCACGCCATGATCACAATGGTGGTGACCATGGTGGTGGTGGTGGTGGTGGTGGTGGTGATTTGATTGATCGGCTGCCGCAGCAGTGCAGGGAACGAGGCGTAGGTGGAGATTGGGTAAATTACGAACGCGAAATGCATGAGAAGGGAGAGATGTTGGAAGAAAAGGCGTCGAAAATGCAATTCGATTCCGGGAGAGTGGCAGTCGGGATTTTGGGGATGAAATTGGGAAGGAGAGGGTTCCCATATGGTGAAGAAACGAGAATCCTCGAATTCATGCAGTTGAATTCAGTTCATTACAGTGCGCAAACTGAGAGAGAAGAGATACGACTTACAGAGAATTGACCCAAAATTCGAGCTGAAGAACAGTTGAATCAAGTAGTGCTTGAATTTTACAACATGGCGTCATAATATTGACATTATGAACTCATCCTCTTCAACCGCCAAAATTGGAGCGAGCATAGCTTCACAATTTAGGCATCTTGCTTCTTAAAAAAAATCCGAGGTTGGATTCCTCGTCTCTACATTTGTTATACTTAAAAAAAACTAAATTAAATTTGACTAATCCATTTGAACATAGCTGAGTAGATAAGATATTTATTTGACCTCAAATGTCACTTTAATTACAACAACAATAAATAGGAATATAATGTTTGAATCTCCGACCTCAAAGAATGAGTAGGTACTATTTACTATTGAGCTATGCTCTTTACAAAACATTTTATTATCTTTTTCCCATCCAATTAATATCTTTTCTTTTGATCGATGACAAATTTTTTTTTCTTTTCTTATTTTTAATTACAGCTGGTCGTCGTTTTGAACATAGTTCAAGTATCTATTATATTTTATGAAGTTAATCTCTCGCCTAACATTTATTTTATTTTTTATTTTTTATTTCGACAACTCACTCTAACGTTTATTGTACTAAGAGTAAATTTAAAGTTAATTGAGATTATTGACTAAGTCAATTTTGGGAACTATGACCTGCGAACGTGACTCAATTAGTTAAGACATTTATTTTCTATCAAAATATTGTGGGTTCGAGCTCTCACTTTATATCTTGTTGTATGAAAAAGAAAATTACAAATAACATTCTTACGACGCTTTAACATCGTTTTAAATAAATGAGGACTTCAAAAACCGCAACATATAGTGTAAGATATTTTGAAGATTCAAACTAATTAGAAACAGAAATGTACGGCCATTTGTGACGTATATATTTTGACATGTGGAGGGAGCTGTTCTTGTGAATAGTGCTAAAATCTTCAAACATTATTCATTAGAAAATTAATTGTGTTAAAATGAATGGATGGTTTTAGTTGATATACACATTGGATAGATGATTTAAATCCTTTTCTCCTTTTAGTAAAATTACTTTTGGGAAGGAGTAAGTAGTTGAAATTAAAAGTTTATTTGGCTGCAAGCATGTTACCAAACCAATCCTTTATCATTCTAATTGATAGAAATAGAATTACAACTAGCACTTTACGTTTTTTTTTTATTGAAAAAAAGGAGTAGAACCATATGTTTGGTAACCATTTCTTATTTCCGGTTCTCTAAAATTTTAAATTAAGAAAAAAGTAAAATTTTATATGAAAATTAATTTTTTAAATTAAATATTCAAAATTTTTATCTTATTTATTTATTTTTGTTAAAATATATATTATGCATTTTTATAAGTCAAAAATGATAAATAGAAACATATGTTTGGTAACTATTTCTGGTTCATTGTTCCCTAAAATTTTAAATTAAATAAAGTAGGGTTTTATATGAAAATTAATTTTTTAAATTTATTCAAAATTTATATCTTATGAGTAAAAAAACGATAAAATAATACTTTTATTTATGTTTTGGAAAAAACTCAAAATTTGGAAAATACAAACGAGAAACAAGAAATTTGATTTTGGTGTATATAAGATTTTTACAAAATTTTGAAAAAAAAAAAAGAATGAGAAACAAGAACAATTATCAAACACTTATGTCTCTTTAGCAACGAAAAACAAGAAACGAGAACGTTATCAAACGGATCATAAAAACTTGTTTGGTTATCTTCCTATTTGTTTTTCTCATTTCCAATTGTAGTAAGAAACATATGCATTTGACAACTATTATTTTATGTTCATTGTTTCTATTTTAGTAGAAACATTCTTAAAATTGTGCAGAAATTTTTAAAACAACAAAAACAATTTTCTTATTTCTTGTTCATGTTTCTAATTTGTTCAAAAATAATTTTTTTTTATCATTCTTGAAACTATGGGTATTGAAATTATGCAATTTTATTTTTCTTTAATAAAAAAGAGAAAACATAAAAAAACGAGAACTTTACCAAAGAGATCTTGAATTATTCCCTCCTTAATCAATTTGGGAGGTTTGGAAAGATTGAGCAACTCTCATGAGGTCAAGTAGAGTTGGAAGAATTCTTGCACACCAAACATAGATTACTTAATCGCAGTCTATACACATTTCTGTACCTCAAAACGGGCTTCCTAATTACAGACATCACAACACCCCAAATCTGCTCCCGAACTTAACATTTTTAGATGTCGAATCTGTGCTCCAAATGCCTCCTAAAGAACAATATAGTGAGATATTGAAAGGCAAAATAAAACTTAGAACTTTAAGACCTCGTTTGGTAACGTTCCCGTTTCCTGTTTCTTGTTCTTGTTTCTCATTTTTTGAAAAACAGACATGTTTGCTAACCAATCCCGTTTCTCGTTTCTAAATTTTGAGAAACGTTTCCGAAAAAGGACCAATTTTTGGAAACTATGAAAAGTAGTTTCGTTTTTCCCGTTTTTGTTTCTTTATTTTGTGTCCCGGCACTATCTGATGTTAAATAATATATTTGTTAAAATTTTTAAAAAGCATCAATGCCGTGGTGGTCCATATAATTTCAAACCCCATTTCATGCAAAATATTATTATTTTTGTTTCTTTTTTTATATTTTATATTTTCTTAATCTAAAATGTTTTCAAATTTTATTTTAATTAATTTTCTTAAACAAAAAAATTTCTATTTTTTAAATTAAAAATATTTTAATATTTTATTCTTTATTTAAACTAATAATTAATGAAAGATGTAAATACATTGGAAAATAAAAAATACGCATGCCGGATGAAATGGTTGTTGCTATCTGTTACAATAACTGAAGAAACATTGGTGGACAATACTGATGGTAGCGATTGACTATTGAGTGCAACCCCCTAACGAGATCGACTATGGGTAGTGAAGGTGCGCTTAAAGCGTATATTTGGAGCTCAATATGAAATACTATTTTCTTGCAAGACCGCGGTCCTCCGGTCTCAGCAGCAACCTGGAGGTTTTCGGTTTCGCCTTTCCCCTTAGGCTTTATTGAGTCGGGTTTCAAGCCTGGTTGCATGTGACTGAGTCGGGAGAGGGGGGCGAAGAGATCCGCAACTTTCACTGCAAAATTAAATTTTTTTTTTGTCTTTCTTTTTCTAGTAAGACCTGTTGTAGGATGATCGCCGAGTGGCGTTCTGCTCGATTAGGCGAATGCGAGTGAGGGATAAGCTTTCCCTATTTTTCCTCACGTGTCAACAAGCAAGTTGGGTGCTCTCCCTTAACGTGGTAGGACTCTRTTGCAGGTCTTGACGTTGGCTGATTAAAAAAGGCATCCTCCTCGCAGCAAAGCCCTCGATTCGCTGAACACACTTCCAATACCTCACCACACCGATTTCACAGCTCTACTTTTCTCGACTTTTTTTAATATAAATAATTTATACTTTTATATGAGTTTATATTGTAAATTATATTTTTTAATAAACTATAAATTTGTTTTATATTTTTTAACTTAAAATATTTTGATAATTTATTCTTCATTAAAAGCTATTATATTTTATTAAATAAAAAAATTTCTATTTTTTAAATTAAAAATATTTTGAAACTTTATTCTTTATTTAAGCTAAGCTAATAATCAATATGTTTATATCAAATAAATTTATATTCTAAATTATATTTTCTTTAATAAATATTATTCTTCGAGTCTATATTATATCTTTTTATATTATATTTACTAAATTTTATTTAACTAAAAATAAAAATTAACTAACCTGAATAAGGTATAAATTCTCGATCAATAGATTGTAGTAGGTTCGAATTCCACCCCTACAAGTTGTTTAATTAAAAAAATAGAAACAAGATACAAGAAATAGTTATCAAACATATTTTTGTTTCTATTTCTTTTTTTCAAGAAACAAGAAACCGAAATGATTATCAAACATATTCTTGTTTTTAATTTTAAAAAGAATAGAAACAAAAATCGAGAAACAGAAAACGAGACTGTCACCAAACGAGTCCTAAATTAACTTATGTCAGGGAGAATTTGAAAGGTATTTTTAAGATAAGTTGTCTACTTGTGTATGCGTATGTTGTTGGAGAAAAGGTCTGCTATTGCAAAAGCATGGATCCTCCTTCGATCCATATTCACAAAACTGTTTTTTGTTCTATTAAAGAGCTCATTTAAGTAAGAACTCCTCTGACTTTTGCTTATTTGGCAAGTTGGCGTAGTTATCCAATAAATATGCTCTTGCCTAATTTGTAATTCTACCATGAATATTATCAAACCAAAATCATCAATGAGAAAAAAAATATTTACCTTTTATGTTGTGGAGGCCGTTTAAATCTTTATCACCAAAGTGAATATAGCTAAACAGTAATTAACATATATGGTTTTCAATTAGGAGGTTGTGAGTTCGATCCCTCATCCCCATATTTTGTACTAAAAAAATCTTCACCCACCCTATATTTGTTTGTATAAAACAAACAAAAAAATTTCTAATAAATCTTACCCTAATACTAGAGGAAGAAAAAAGGTGAGAAAACGTCCATATTTTATTGAAAATATGTGGATGGAACTTTCAACCTTTAAATATCTTATATCCATCTCGGATTGATTAATATAGAACAATGTACTTAATTAATACTGATAAACATAAGGCTTGAATCTCATATTGGTTTTACTTAAAAAAGAAAAAAAATCTCATATTAGGTTTTCAGAACTTTTAAAGAGGTTAGTTCTGCCAATGATAGCATAGTTTAGCCATTAGAGCAATGTATATGAGAGTTCAAATCTTTACCCTCACATATAATAAAAAAAAAAAAAAAGAATATTGTGCTGATCTCTCCTTATTTTCTTTTTTTTCTAATGTAGAATTAGTCTCATAGCTCTCAAGTTTGAATTTTAATACACATTTTTAGACGCAGATGTCACATTGACAAGGATGAAATTAAAATAATTTGCGAGCATAGCTCAATAGGATAAAACACCTATCTGACCGAATTTGAATCCCTGCTCTCACATGTTATACTAAAAAACTTATAAATATAACAAAAATTGGTAGTTGCAGTTAATCACACATTTATGATCTTAATTTATTGATTATCACTATTAAATTAATTAATAATTAATAAAATTTTCAATTGTTGTATTTGTAATTAGTTTTCTAAATAGTGTATTCATAATTGCATTTATAAATACATATTTACAGATATTTTAGAAAATAATCCTATCATTCAAATTCCAGTACTTAGGATGACATATATTTTTATTGGTTAATTAAAAACGTCACGTTGTTACAAAAACGAGTATCTTCAACGATAATTAGTATATATCTCCAACCAAAATGTTTGTGAGTTCGAATCCCCACCCCACATGTTATACTAAAAAAGAAAAACCAACATTACACTGTCAGTAAAAACTCTATGCACAGGACAGTATTATTGTTATTTCATTTATGTCATATATTTGTTATAACTTTCCTTCATATTGTCCATCTGCAGAGCAGGGTTACATATTGGAAAAAAGCATATTATTCAGAAACCGCCACCATTTTTGCAATTGCATGATCTTTTTTACTCGTCAACCCTTCTATTTCTTTCCCTGTAATGTCAGCTATAAACATATCAAGATTCCGGTGAGAAGATCCGCCGTCTTCTACCGCCCTTTTTGCCGCCTCCTTCAACTCCACCGCTCTTTTGGCTATTGCCTCCGCCGCTGGCCCGTCGGTGATCTCTCTTATGCATCTCTCCACCTCTTCTGAACTCACTACTCCGTCATCTCCCTTTCGCGTTCTCACTCCAACCTTGAAAACATCTGTTAGAAATTTGGCAATGGTAGGCTGATCCGTCCACTCCGGAAATGCTATCACCGGAACGCCTGCGACTATGGTCTCTAGCGTCGAGTTCCATCCGCAGTGGGTCAGGAAGCAACCCACAGCTTCATGCTTGAGAACCTTGTCAAGAATTATATGCATGAAAAATATTCAATATACCCTACCTTGTTAACTGATTTTTTTTTTTTAATTTTATGGTAGGTTAATTGATGATTCTCCTAGCTCAAAAATGGAATTTGACGGGTTACTGTAAATGTTGGAAGAAATCCTCCTAATTTGTGAGTTTGTAAATTTATACAAGTTCCAAAATGATCAATCGGAAAGAAATGACATTATACATGTTTGAATATATGAGCTCCTACTTTCATATATCATGTTTAATCATCCATTAATCTAAAAGTTTAAGTTGATGAATTACGATAAAATCTTAATAATACAATTTTTCTAAGTTAACATTAAGGTATGTGCTGACTAAGAGTGTGTTCTCCTTAAGATAAGACTCTTCGTCGATCGCTCCGTCCCAGTAAGATTTGCTTTTATAACTAAGACCTATTTAGTAACGATAATCTCATTTGTTGTTTCTCGCTTTCAATTTTCTTAAGAAATATAATCATCTTACAACTAACTTTATTTTTTGTTTCAATTTTTCGGAAACATTCTCACAATTGTATAGAAATTTTGAAAACAATCTTTCTTCTTTCTTGTTCTCTTTCCAATGTGTTTTAAAATATAATTTTAAAGATTGTTTTATCCTACTTAAATTTATGGATCTTGAAGACATGTAATTCGTTACGAAACGAGAGCTCTGACCTGAGAGGTGTTAATATATAAGTCAACAAAGTTAAAACAAGAAACATAAAGGAAACGATACTGTCTTGAGCGATGGAATTTTAAGTTGAGAGTGTTAATATATATAAGTGAACAAAGTTAAAGAAAAAAACCTGTTCTTGAGCGCACCAGCTGACGACGAGGCCCCTCCCCTCAACATCCTCCAAAAACCCAGACGGCAGCTCCCCGCCGGATTCCTTGTCCTTGAGGACCCAAAGAAACGGCTTCCCGCTCCTCTTAAGCCCCTCCGCAACATTCTCAATCTGCTCCCGAGACGGCACAATGATACTCCCAAACGAAACGTAAAC